GCTGCTGGCATTTTTTTCTCACACGATCTTTGCCATTCTTTTTCTCCAAACAAACTTTTATATATATAATGCATCTGTGCAGCTGGAAATGAGAAGAAGTGCATTTCAGAAGGCGAGTGTTGCGCGCGCCGAGCGGAACACCTGAGCGAGAGAAAGAAAAAGAACAAAGGTGGCCTTGGGAATTAATCGTAAATGTGATGACCTCTGTTATATCATTATAGGCATGGAAGTGAGCGTCACGCACGCGGCCTAATCAATCCAAATTTTCTTCCTCGGCTGCAGCGAAACAAAGAGGATGAAAAATTATCTGCGCCAGGCACAATGATGCAGCACGCCCAATTTACTGATTTTATTTGCGCGCGGCTCAAGTTCGTGCCGAGCAGTTTGATCATGATGAAAAAAAAATCATGTGCCATTGCTCACTCACGTACACAGTGTGTGCGAGCAGAAACAAAGCAAATTGCGGTAAAACGCGCGACCCGTGAGACCGAAAACTCTCAGATACATTTTATATTTATTTTTTTCAGCACACGGAACCTCTGGAAGGAATACAAAATTTTTTCATCTCTCAGATTTCGTTATTTGTTTAAAGGAGGATGCTATATATTTTTTAATTGGAAATCGGTGAACGTCAATCATTTGCGGCAGAGGATGAGCGCGGTGCTCTTGACCTTGAAGTTTGGCAGCGACTCGCGGCGCTTGAAATAATGCCGCGGTGCGGCCAACGAACGAACAGAGACCGCCTGCGCTCAAATGAAATGAAAGGATTGCGAGCTTTGTGATTTTGCGGAATAGGTTTTGTTCTCGAATCGATTAATAATTTTAATTTCAGGCGGGTCTGCGCGAGAAGGGGATTATCGCACTGCGGTTTGATTAGTTTCCGAGGAGAACCAAAATCGAACAATAATTGGAAAAAAATTGAAATTTACATGAAAACCTGTTTTTGTTAGTTAAAAACCAATGTTATAATTTGAAACAAAATTTATAGTACAAACTTCACTGTAATTTCAGCCAACAATGAATTCTTTGGGGAATAAATAAGGAACAAAGGATTAAAATAATAGCTCTTTTGAAGGCGAACGAAAAGAGATGATTATAAAGGAAACACGCACCTCCTATTCACATGTCGAGAGCGATAATTGCGCTCGTCAAGTGTCGCAATCGCCGAGCCAAGTTCGCACCCCTGCGATGCGGGAGCCGCCCTTGAGTGGTGTTGTTGTGTGTACGTGGGCAGAGGAGCTGCGGAGGCACCCATCCTTGTTCTGCGAAAGGTGCACTGCGACTGAGGCTCGGCGAGCAGCACTCGCGGTGAGCACAGCGCCCGCCCGCTCCAGCCCAAGGAGGAGGCAGCCGAGCGCTGCGGTCTGTACTGCGGAGAACCAGCTCGCTCGCTCGCGCACTCACGTATCGTGCGGCCCTTGTGCAGCCCCTGCTTGCGGGCCCGCACCCCCCGAGGAACCCCGCGTGCGACTACGCGGCTGCTGCGTAGAAGCGCCGAGTGCACTCGAATCGGACGTAGACACGCGCAATATTATTCATCACTCGCCAATCGGGCGTGCCCTATTCAATCTGTCTATTGATGGACCATTGTTAGATTATATCATTTGGTTTTTTTTTAATCACATATATACATGTAGCTGTGTTAGGCTGTATTTCTTACATTTTATCGTCTCATTTAAAAAAATTAATATTATAATTCATTGATAAAATAATTCATATTTTTTTTTATAAATTTTATAAAAAAAATTAAACAGCTTTTTTAAGTTTTGCAATCAAAATATTCCTGGTCATGCCATTGCATGTTGCAAGAAAATGGCCATTGACATTTCTTCAAGTGGATAAATACTTTCATAGCTGTAATTTTAAAATAATGAGCAAGTTTGCTAAACAATTGTAGCGATTGCTAAACCGTATTGCGCAATTGCCTATAAATATTGAGATCCTTTTAAATTTTTAACCTGTAAGATAATTTCAAATAAATAATTTTACACAATTTCACTTTTAAAATTTATATTTTTGCAACCTCAAGATACTAGGAATGAAAGCTGATTTTTTGCAATTAAGCAAAAGAATCTTAAATATTATTAAAAAACAAAAAATTAATTTATTGTAACTTTTAAAGCCAGATTCATGTTTTAATTTTTTTTATCATGCAAAAGTTAAGTTTTATATTTAAATTTTTTTATACTTTTAGTTGCATCTATAATATTTACTTGAATGAAAATCGATTCGAAATTACATGGTGGGAGTTAAAAATAATTCATGTTCACCATATGTCACCAGCGGCAGCAACGATAATCAATACAATTTTACCCCAAAAGTGGATTTTCACCGAGCTGGAGGGGTGAAGTGTCTGTCCCTGGGAAGGTTGATCTCGATAAGGCAGATAAAGTTGAACGCAAATATAAGGAAAAGAGGATGATGATGACGTACGAGATAATGGTAATAACATTATTATTTCATTTGAAATAATAATCGCGGGGGCGCGGTGGGTGGTGGCGACGCGACCCGACGACAGTTTCGTCGGCGCCTAATTGGCGCAGCAGGCCGCGAACGAGCCCGATTCATTCGTCCCTGGCAGCACTCAAGGTAAACAAAAGGGACTCTCGCGGAGAACCTTGGGGTGACCTTGACCTTAAGAGCGCGCGAGTGGGAGGAGGATCGCTCGCTCTCTCGACGGGCTGGCGCGATCAATGAGACTCGCTTTTACTGCGCCATCCCCCACCCCCTGCCGGCCGGCCGCCCGCCCGCCACCCCTTCATGCGGTGCACTCGCTGATTGTTTCCATGCGTCCCCCGCGCCTCCCCGCCCTGCATCCTTTTTGCACAACCTCAAGGACGAGTACTGCTGCATCCAGCGTCGTTCCGGCCGCCGCTCTGCAGCCCTGCAATTTATTTCCAACACCACCGAGTTGAGCTGCTGCGTCCAGGTAGCGTTTTGCACGGCTGTGCGCGTTCAATTATTGGAAAGGTCAGAGGGGTGTTTGATTTCACATCGAGAGAGCTTTCCGTTTCGTTCTCGTTAATTACATTTGTGTTTATGGAATAAATAAAAAGTAACAAATTCATAACTTTGCTAGAGCAATCCAATGCGGAAATGTTAATAATGGTTAATTAAATAGAAATAACACAAATAATTTTCTCTTCCAACATGTCATTATACTTTTTTTCCAACTGATAAATAATTTCAGTTCAATAATTAAAATTAAAGCAATAAATAGGTAAAACCAATTTATAAATAAAATTAACGTTTAAGAATGTTTAAAAAGTTAAAAACATTAATAACATGTAATTTTGTCAGAATTAAATTTATTTTCAAAGTACAATGAGTGAATTTATGTCAAGTCCAACGTTTATTTTGATTTTTTTTTTAGAAAATAAATAGGAAAATCAAACGAAAGAAGAGAAAAGTGAATGAAAATTCATTTATATTTTATAACTCCGTATGTAATAGTAGGAATTAAACAAAATTTAATTTAATGATTGCTGGTATTATAAGGAAAAATGCTTGTTTAGGGCAGACAAGAGGGTAACCGCAGAGTTGAAGCAGGGATAAGAGGAGCAGCTCTAAATGTTTTTCTCATTTCCAGAGGCCAGGGGAGCGACATACATGCGAGCAGCTTACTTTTCTCTCTGGTACCGCAGTGCAGTACAAACGAAGGCGAAATTTCAAGCGAGTGGAATTTCTCTGAGCTTCTCTTACCCCAGAGCCCAAATGCATTCAGTCCCCGCCGAATTAACGCCTCTCGTCCTTTAACGTCTGCTCATTTCACCCTTCATTTGGCGCTGTTTAATTAGTGACGCGGATAAATGCGCCCGGGCAAGTTCGTTTTTGCCTTCGTAAAGAAAATTGGGCGTGAAATGGCCGACTTCATCTTCCGACGGTCGCTCCGAATCTGTTGTTCTCTTTTCCAGCATTTAATTTGCGCGTTCTTTCAGCACTTCTTTGAATGGAGGAATGAAAGGTGTTTCCAGCGGTTTCATTATGCGATTCTTTCCCTTTCGGATGAAATCTTCAGTGTGAAGAGAGAAACCGTGTTTTTCCTGGTGGAAAATTTTAAGTCGCACGGATTTCCAAAGTGAACTTTCACATTGAAGCTTTTCAAATGCCACAGCAAAACCACACAATTTTCTGCGTCAGTGTTACTTCTGTTCCATATCAAAATAAAAACATTTATACAGGAATCATTTTTGAAATGTTTAGAATTAATTTTTTTTTAGTAATGCATAAAATAAAATTACTCCCACAAGTATTAACTTCAGCGTTTTATGATTTTTCACTTAAGCTTAGGGTATACTTTTTCATTAGCAAAAGGAGGCGAGATTTGGCCGTAAAGAGGCGCCGCCTAATCCAGATTTGCAGGTCCTTAGGGGGCGTTCTGCTTATATAAATTTCAGCAGCCGGAGGCGCATGTATATTTTTCCCATCCTAGAGGAGCACTGGTCGACGTCTTTATATTCATCTCGGGAGAAGAGAGGAGTTGTCATAAGTTTTTCTGGTGAGAAAGGTCAGTGATCAGAGCCCGCTGTAGTTTGCTCGCACAGGCATTGCTGCTCCCGTCGTAAATTTCAATTCTCGCGCGCTCTCCGCTGAATACATAAATTATGCAAATGATTATTGTGCTGGCGACTGGCACATAAATAAACGGACAGAGATGAGGAGCTGCTGGCGCAAGAGGCCTGTATCATTATCTAATCGGACGGCTTGATTTATGTCGACAATTAAAGTGCATCTCTGAAAAGTCATTCACTCTCTACTCGCACGTGATTTGAGTAATTTCTCACCATTTTCAAAGCAGTAAAATACGATGCGAGTAAATTGTTCCCCAAAGGAGCATACAAAGTACTCCAATTAAAGATACAGGCAAAAATTACAAAATAAAAATTGTTATTTTATTTTAGAAATAGTGTATTTTAATTTAAATAATTAGAGTAATTTAAATGTAGATCCTCGAGGCAGGAGTAAGAGTAGAAAATGTGAAAATATACTAAGTTACTCACCCAATTCCATGGGGTAGAGCCAGGTGTTGACGTCTAAAATGAGGTCCATTTTGAAGGACTCGCTCTCGCAGAAGAGACGGGAAACTGCAACAAAGAAACAAGGCGTGATGAGCGCGTTAATTGTGATTTAAAGGACGGCTAAGAGGCACGCCCGACTCTCGCATTAAATAAACGTTAGCTGCAGGACGTGTGAGCTGCGAGAGAGAGAGAGACATATGAAAGATGACATACTGCATTGCGACAATGTTGTTTTTGTTGTTTGCTTTTCTTATGTCAGGTCATTTGAATTTATGATTGCAGTCCTCGCATATTTTCCTCGTCGAGTGAAAGAGAACGCGAAAGAGAGCAAAAAACACGCCATTACGTACTTTTATACTTGCATAATAAAACAAACAGAGAGATTCTTCCGTGAAAGGATGCATGCATAAATAAGTCCAACTAATGACGAAGGGAAAAGCTAATCTTTGCTGAATAAACCGGAGTATTTTTCATACACAACGCACAGCTCTCTTGTCACTGTAATTTAAAATACGCGCGACGGAACTGATAAAAATGCGTTTATTACAAAAAAAATCTATGGTTGCAATTCTATATAATATTTTTCCACGAAAAGCTGGAATTTACAACCGAGCTTAACATGCAAAGTAGATTTACTGCCGGACATTATTACCAAATTCCAGCCGCCAAATATAATGATTCTGATGAAATTTGACTCGCCGCCATTGTCATCCAAGTCACGAATTTCAGGGATGGAGCTTTTCGGGTGCACTTGCAGGCCCGGGCGAAATTTAGTGCCCGTCATCGTGCCGATAAATTTCCTCTGTGCCGTGAACCTTTAATCTCCAGTAATTGCGCTATTTGAAAAATAATGCGCTGCTTTCCAGAGGCAGCACCACTAGCGCTGACGTCACAGTATAATGCGGCAATGAATGCGGTTCTGGCCGCCGTCCAAAAAAAGAAGCATGTGCACGAGTTTTCCAGAGTTGTTCTTTTTTTTCTCACTTTTCGCCGCCGCAATGATACATAATGCATCGCCAAAAGAGAGCTGGCTGATTTACGAGCTGCTGCAGCAAAAGGCAGGTGGAATCTGCCCCGCTCCGCTGCTGCCCACCTGATTTCGCTTGAATCAATACTCTGCATATGCGCTTAACAAACACGTTTGATGCCACACCGCTCTACATTATTGACTCAATCACGGTCCTTTCCTTCCTTTTTCGGCGGGGATAAAATCTCGGAGCAGCGGAGATTATTGATAAAATGAAAAGGTCTTCCTCGAGCGCCAATAAACTTTGAAAAGGAAGCACTTTACTCTCCAACTTTTCATCGCCAAGCACCCCGATCACTCGCCTAATTGAAAGCTGCTTACGGCGACATTAAATTTCGAAAACCAACAAGGAAAATGATGCTTCTTTAATTAGGGAGGCTTAAGACGGTAAAGCCCAGATTTGCAGTTTTTAGTTTTCCACTAAAACGAGCTCAGGAAATTTTTTGTTTCCAACCACAAAAAATTTGATGTTTAAGAATATTAAACAAATATTACTCTTCTTTATAAAGTTTTACAAGTTCTAACTAAATTTGGAAAAAAATTATAATTTATTCAATGATTTTATTGTTTCTGTATCATGAGTTGCAGACCAGCTGAGCAAATATTTTTTCTCACTTTCCTCTTCATCCTTGTTAAAGGACCAGATTTTAATCAAATTTGAGCCACTTTGGCAAATCGGGCTAATAAATCTCAGGCGCTTGAAACTTGAAAGTTAATTACCAAATTTGGCACGTACAAACGGTTTTTGTGTGCTTGACAGCAACCGTTATCAGCGTCAGATCTTCTGCCTTTCGTGGGCAAAAAAAATCTGCCCGCGATGAGCCATCATTTTTCACAATTTTTTGTTTTCCGATAGCGCAGTTTTGACACGAAATCAATCAAAGACGTCACTTTCCCTGCTCGAAATTAATACAGAGTGGAAAAGTCGAAAGATCAATCCACTCTTCTGTTCCGTGTTTTCGATATTCGGGTCAATTCTAATAGGCTTTCCTCCTCAGGTGCCCCTGCTGAATATGCAACAGCTCTCAGGTCGACCAAGAGGAACGAAGGCGGCGAGTAATTTATTCGGCACGAGGAGGCTGTTGGTCGGAATATATTTTATATTTTAAGCCATTACGCTCGGATCAATATGAAGAGGAGGCAAACTGCTGCGATGACGGTGTGGGCGTTTGGGCGAGATGTGCCCCGTGCTATGTGTGAACGTGTAAAACTGACGCAAATCCCCCTCCACCCTGCGAGCCACCCTCTCGCCACATCACACCTATTGTTTGATATCGCAATTTGCGAACGAGTGTGTTTGCCGTCTGACCTGAGGCCAATGCTCCTTTGACCCGCTCTGAATTTAGTGAAGCTTTTCAATAGTCTCCAATTAGCAGAAGTATCGCTTTTCCCTAAGCCTTTCCTTGTTTAAATTGCGCAGCATTTGTTGCCAGACTGGAATATTGAACTCAGCCCCGAAAATTTGAGGAAAATGTAACAAAATTCACCATCAAAATACAAAGTGGGCGTTTCTTGATAACGAAATAATTGATCTGAATTTGGAATTAAATACGAATTTTTTTTATGCTTCGTTACAGTAAGCTTTAGACAATGAAATTCAAAAGGGTAACAAATTGTTTTTAAATAAATTCTTGGTAAGCGTAAAAAATCTTAACAAAATACAAGTACCAATTGCAATTTTTAGTAATATTTCAGCACGGATCTTCAGCTGAATAAATTTCTGCTGGGTGAAAATTTTAACTTTGGAAGAAATCTAGAGAAGAATAAAAGCAAATATTTCCTACCATATATAAAATATGAAAATCAGAAGTTAACAGCATAAATTTTTATTTTTATTAGTATTTTATCAATTCAATTAAGTTATTAAATTGATATTTTAATTCTTAATAGTATTATTATTATCAACTAGAAAACATGATTCTTATTCCTTGATTTGTTTGGTTTCTAGTACGAGTGTTACAATTTTACGAAAGGAATACATTGCGTCAGTAAGAAATGTCATAAGCTGAGAATTTAATATTGGCCAAGTGGAAACAAATTGGCGCAATGGTTTGGCTTGTCGTGAGTGAAAAATGCGTCCGCCAAGCGTCTTTAATTATTCCACCAGTCAAATGAAAAGCGAGGCGAGTGGGCAAAAACCGCTGCCGCATTCCGTTTCATCCTCTCTTGTGTCATTTGGCAGCAAACGCATGAGCGGTAATTCGCGAAATTACGCGCTTGCTCTGGCAAATGATTTCTTCTGTGGCGCAAAGCCGTCGAGATAAGAAATTTCAGCGGACAGATTTAATTAAAAGGCGGATGATCGCACCAAAAAGGTGAAACGCGATTAATTTGCGCGCGGGTGCTGCTCGAGCAAGCAGGCAGCCGCGCTCGTTATTTGCCACAGCGGTAATGCGGCTGGCGTGACGTCACTCATGCAAATATTTGCCCAGTCCGTAAGGCAGGTTATTTTCCACGGTGCTCTCATCCAGCGGGGAAACACAAAAGCACCTCTTTTGATGGCGAAACAATTGCTCCTCCAGTGGAAAATGGGCAGAAACGCGGAGAAGAAAAAAAATCCTTCTTTTCTGACGCACCCCTGCATAGGATGGACCCCGCTCGGAAAATTGCATTGCTTGTTGCGCAACATTATGACAAGCCGTGACACAGGCGGCAGCGGCTCCAGCGTCTCTGGCCCGCCCGGCTGCTCACTTATTCATTTCGCCTCTTGCGCCATTTGGCAAAATTGCGACGCCAGGGCCCAATTTGCGCTCGATTTTGCGCCACAATTGATCCGACACGACGACCCACGCGTTTTCTGACAATCACGAAGCAGATGATATGCGTTTTAGCTCACTGCACTGTACTTAACTCCACAGCTTGGTTGGAATTTGAAATTGTGATGAAAACCATTATTTTGTCAACCAATCACTGCACGTAGGTTATTTTTAATGCATGTCTTTCTGTAACTTCGATTAATTCTATCAAATTCCCTACTAAAATTTCATTTAAAATCGCTTTCAAATACTGTATTTTAAAATTTAATAATTTTTTAGAAACAAAAATCACTTTCGTTTAATAATTTCTACAATAACTTGTGATTATATGTTAATATTCATTTTAAAATTTACAAGAACAGAAACGAGTTTAAAAAAATGAATTGTTAAATAAATAAACTTTTTTATCTTTAAAATTCAAAATAATTTACAAGTTAAAATTGAGCAATTGATATGATGTACAAAAATGTACTTTTTAGTTATTTCTTTGGTTTGCACTTTGCAGGCAATTAATGGTGTCAAGCGATAAACTCTGCCTAACAACCACGCAATCAGGCTGTTTGCGGTTCCTGTTTGACTTCACTCTAAGATCAACTCTCTCACTCGTTAATTTGTGAGTGCGAAAAGTTTTGGCTCAAGTTCAGCGTGAATAGTTCTCTAAAGATTTTCCAAAGCCGATCGAAAAAAGAAGGCTTGCGATGAAAAGTTATATTCCACTATGACAAAGGCGCGATTGGTTGATTGGACAAACAAAACAAACCAACTCACCCGTAGCGATCCATGAGCGCGGTTGCTCAGCGTGGGTCTCCGAGCCGAGATGAGGAGCGAGTGGTTCTAGCACTTTCTCCCCCGGCAGACCCTGCTGATGCCCGTGAACGAAACCACCCCTTGAACTTACCCCTACCCTTGGAGTTTCTCCCTGCCGCAGCCACCGCTGCCGCCCACTCTCACTCACGACTATCGATCTGCCGACGGCAAAACACGACCCGAGCCGACGCACCCGGGGGCAGGGGGCGGTTCGGGGGTCGTGACCCCCCCACCTTCGCAGACAACGGCACTCGTCGTTTCTAAGCGAGTCTAATCTGCTTTCAGAGTTATTCCTCAGTGCAAGCTAATTAAGGCACCATTTTTTGTTGGTTTGTTTCTATGCGAAAAAATTTGTATACAAACTCGTATTTTCACCAAGCCGCTCATTTCGTAATTAGTAATTAGTATATATTTAAAAAAAAATATATACATTAAAAACGCTAATAAAATAAAAATAATGTGTTTTTATGGAGACA